GTGAACCTCCTTAATGTACCTTATCTTGTTTGTTAAAAATCTTTCAATAAAAAATATTTGAATAAAACAAAATACAAAATAAATTCTCATACTCCTGACATTTGGGGCGATACTATATATGTGTATATTATTTGTTGTTTGTACCCATTTTAGGGCCAAGAAATGACAATGCATATTTTATTTATTTGTATTGTTTCTGTTCTACTTAAAAAACACACCAAATAAAGGTTTGTTTTTTTTTTAATCCAGCATAAAAGATACTGACCTAGACCTTTGACCCTGACCTTACTCCACATGTTTTTAAATATTGTTTTTGGAGTCTTACAGTATTTCTTCTTCATCTGTAAAATACAGTATTTCTTTTTTTTTTGTGTAAAATAATGTTTATTGAAAATTGTTACATTACATGAACTTCCACGTAGCAAAACAAAAACATTAATATAAAGGCATTGAAGATGACAATCTTCATTAAAAGAAAAATAACAAATTGCACCAAAGGCAGGGACAGACAGTACAATATAAAAAGAAAAAACCCCTAAACAGTAATGTGCAATATTCATTCAAAGAAAGGCAATCAGGATGAGACCTCATTGCATACCCACACCCACCCAACCTATGTGTAAACAACAGGGCATGAAGATCTAGACTTAATAATCCATACTGAAGAATGTAAACTCATGATCTAGTACACCTGTTAAGCATTGGTAGGCCTAACTAAGAACAAAATGGTATACTATACAGAAACCGAAAAAGCAATTTGAGGAGTTAAACCAAACCCTTCTTTAAGAAGCACCATACGCACTAATATTCAATCCCAGATAGTAGAAGAGGAGGAAATCCATCTACCCCACATTTTATCAAATTTGCTGAATGCTCCTCTGTTGGAATATGTGGCCTTACACATGGGGACAGATTTGTTCACCAACATTGGGACTGATGTTTTTTTTCCAGGACAAAACAATCAATTTTCTAACATAATATGCTAGCAGTGGGAGAAGGGTTTTTATCGCATTAGTAGAGGCCAGAGAATCGACCAGGCTCAAAAGACATACCTCAACAGAGGCGGGATGGGAATGGTAGTTATTGAAGCAATACAAATCAAAACCGGTTGCCAGTACTGTTGGATATCTGGGCATTCCCAGAATTTGTGCACAAAATTAGAATAGGACACAGAGCATCTCTAACAATATGAAGATTGATTCCTATATGCTAGCTAGTCTTGTCGGTGTAAAGTAAATCCTCTGAAGGAATTTCTAATGTATTAAATGGTCCCTAGTGGACACCAAACGGTTAAAGGGGACCTCCTAGGTGTCATCCCAATCATCTCTATCTAACCCTGCAGCAGCAGTGTGCCAAAGCACTATGCATGTCCATAGGCGTTTAGTGGTTTATGGGACCAAGCTCTTATAAATAGTAGATAATACATTCACCCAGGAGCAATTGTTCCATGCCACTATATTGTAGATTAATACTACCCATACTAAATTGTGATTGGAAGACATACCTAAATTCTAAATATCTAAATAAATGTGAATTAGGCAAGTGGTATAGCTCTTTAAGTTCAGCAAAAGTCAGAAGGAACCCATGTGCAGTTACATGTTGCAGAGGTTTAATGCCAAATTTTGTCCAAACAACCCGCTCAGGATATAAATAGAAATTTCCCAAGGTACGGTTTTTCCAAAGTGGGGTATATGGGGACAACTGTGGAAAGGTGTTGTGGCCTCGCCCATGCAACCCCCCCCAAGTCTTAAGAACTGAGCACATAGAACAAGTTAAAATGTAGGGGTATTTTGATCCCCTAAAAAAGTAAATGATTCAGAGCCTTGTAAGAGCTCTAAAGACACAGCAGCATCTTCCTGCATTGTAGTTGACCAGCGGTGAGCAAACACTTGTTGTTCAGGAGATTTCTCCAGGCATGCAACCTATGTTTGAGTAACATAAGAAGTGGGAAAACATTTAACGTAGTGCAATCAAAAACTGAATTTGTTATGACCAATCCCAAATATGTAACCTGGAGGGTAACCACCCGATTGGTATTGGCAGAGGAAAGCCTGGAATGTAGGGGAAGAATTGTGGACTTGGCCCAATTGACTTTTAGACCTGAAACTTTGTCCATAATGGACAATGCAGCCTGTCAAGAGGGTTCAGGGTCTCGTAGAAAAACAACATACAAAGCTATGGTTTCCATAAGACTCCCCTATGAATTCCCTGCAAACCAGTGGAGCTATAAAATATTTATATATATATATATATATATATATATATATATATATATATACCATCAGTGCGGTTCAAACCGCATCCAATCCGCATATATGTGAACGGGCACTTAAACTCTTCTTTTTGTAATGTGTCTAGTTTGGTTACATTTAATTCTTTAAGCTATTTTAGCTGTATTAATCAGATTGGAGTGATGCTGCATTTAAACGAAGCAATGAATTATCAGTAAAAAAACAAAGAGAACCTTATTTACAAACATTTTTTGAAGTGATGAAAACTGTCAGACATGGACCAGAAATTAATGTGATTATCCATGAAAAATGCATAAAGTAATCTGCAATGTATTTTGCTTATATGGACAAAATGACATAATAATTTCTGTATGCAGATTTGCATGCATTTTTTTAATGCATTCCAGGGTATTTTTTATGTGTTTTTCCCCTCCTATTTCAATTCAGGACGTGTGCATTTCCAGTGTGTTAGTGATGCTGTTCCAGGTCATTTTTGATGTGTTTAACCACATTCCAGATGCATTCCATACAAAAAAAATGCAGCATGTTCTTCTTTTGTTGACTGCAATGAAATGCACTGCACTGGAGTGAACTTTGGCCATTGGAATCCATGAAAAACATGTTGCATGCATTTTTAATGCAGATTAAAAATGCACTGGACTACGTCTGGTGTGAACCAGTCCTAAAGATGTTAGCCCTGGTTCACACCAAAGCGACTTGTCATGCGATTTGACTTTGTCAAATCAGCTGACAAGTCACACTCTATGATTGGCAATGGAACCATTCTAATTGGTTCGACTCTGACTTCGTCGGAGTTGCACTTATTTGTAAAGTAGTTCCTGCCATACTTTTGCTGAATTCTGGCACGACTTGCATTGACATCTGTGCATGAGGTTGCGCAGATGTCTTACAAGTAGCACTGACATGCAACTTTGAAATCATGTGATTTCAAGTGAAGTTTTATGATTTCAAAGTCATATTCAGTGTGAACCAGGGCTAAAAAAGCAAAACAAAATCTAGGCTTATGTAATCACATTCTCAGTTACAAAATAAAGATCTATTTATTGCACTGAATGCCACATATACCCAAAGATCAGAATGCTAAAAGTTACTGTCTGCACTGGATTTCTATGCCTGCTTCCACTGTCGGGCTTTGGATTGTAAAATTTGATCCACAGGTCGTAGTAGAGATAGTGTCTTCTATTTGATTACACCGTGACTATATCTGTACTCTTTGTTATACATTGAAGATCTCATGCGGTTTCTTGGTCAGCACACCTGTTCTTGTCTTGTATGTTGATTTCTCTCTATAAAATCTGAAAAAAAAGTGACTGCCTAGATCTCTGAAGCTTATTTTTAGTCACAATTATATAAAATTGTATGTTATTGTAAAATGTGATTTGGAAAGTATATTCTATCCCATGTCTGGTCGTCCCATGTCATGTTGGTCCTTTTATTAATGAAAGTATTTTATTAATGAAGGAAAATTTTAAATCGTAAACATTCAATGCTAATACCAAATTTTAATGGGGAAGCATTCACAAACTCTCTTGTCATATTAAACTATCCACCATAGTTTTAAAGCACGTTTACCTTATATGTTACAATCTGGGTTACAAATTTTGGATGGTTGGTTCTCTCTTTATTCCTGAAATATATACAGTAGGATCCTTAGAACTGCTGAATCATGTTCTCCTCTGCCAAACTGCAGTCTCCACACCTGCCCTCATTAACAGACTTTAAATTAAGGCCAGACCTCCCATCCTATTCCTGATCAACAGTTTTGTTTCAATTCTGTTTGACTACAATTCACTCTAAAATACTCTTCTGAATTATGTTGACTATATTTTTCTGTCTGGACCATCTGAACAAATGGCTGTTGTCAAACACTGCTCTGACTGCATGTCTGAACTGTTGTTCTTCATCCCCTTTCCTCCCTGTTTTTTGGCAGTCAACATTCTAGTATGTTTCTTGCTGGTGGGCAGTGCAAAATCTGCAACATCAGTAGCTCTGGTGAAGACCAGACACAAAGAAATTGTTACTCAGCTTGAGGTTGGCTCAAGTCTCATTTAGTACCATTTTCTGCACATATAGACTTCCATTTTCAATGGGAAATCCTGGTCAGAGCAGCATTCACTATATTTATAATACGGCAAATGTTACAGCTGCAACTTGGCTCTGCTTCTTCAACTGCCCCTTTGTAGGCCGTGTACAGGGGTGGGCACCCCAGGATACAGTGAAGTCACGAACGAGGAAAGCAACCCCAACACCAGCTTTTGCCACAACAGAATTTTACTTAGATGTGGCAAATAAACACAACCACAAATGCTGAAAACATACAATAAATTTACATACACCCAGCCCAAAGACTGAGACCCTTGTGCTGCACAGCATGGCGCCTTCTGATGATGAAGGTAGAAAGAGTAGTAATTTACCTACTGGCGGGCACAACTAAGCTGCCACACCTTACCCGTTATTACCCTAAAAGAGCAAGAATCAGTGTATGGGTGTATGGTATGGGCTAGCCTGCGGTGGAGCACAACAGCTTACAATTTTACACAAATCTACAGTATTCCCTCTCCCATAACTGGTCCTGTAGCACGTGCCTGAGTATTCCTTCTGAGCAAAACGCCAGTCTGGGTTGAGTTTGTAGGATTTTATGAGCTCTCCAATGTGAAATGTCACTTTAAGTTGTGGAGTCCTTCCAATAATCAGTAACAACACTTGTGGCCTGACACAAACGGAGACCCTAACTAATTAACTATAGGCCTGGACTCAGTATCAAGGCGCCAACACTGAAATGAGGTGCGTGCACTATCTTACTGATCCGAGTCTGCTTTTCATCCGCTGGTGACTCTGAACAGAACAAATGTCTCTCCAACAAGCATGCGGTCTCGCTGTATATGTTGCTTAGTTCCTCTGCTCTCATTAGCATTCCTGGCAGCAATCTCATCAGCATTCCTGGCAGCAATCTCATCAGCTTCCTGGCAGCAATCTCATCAGCTTGACTTAGCTGCAGCTCTGGTTATGGAGGGATGCTCTCACACCTGGATGTCATCAGATTCTCAGCTCACACGGCCCCCCTCATTCACCATTCTCCAGAACATGGCCGCTCTCTCTCTTCTTCCTGTTCCCACTCAACTCTGTGTGAAAACTCCACCTCTTCATGAATATAGAAATATCTATGCAGTCTGAGGCTGTGTTAGGAAAACAGTGACATCTTGTAGCTAAACTGCAGAATGTCAATCAAAACATTTAATTTACTCCACACAAGCAGTATTCAAACAATGAGAGCTGTTTCCCCATCTCACACCTTGTACAGCCATCCCTGGCATTACTTCCACTACCTGACTATCCAGACCAGACACTCTTCCTGCCTTTCCTCTCAAAGCAAGTCAAAACACCCAGGCTTCCAGCTGCAGACAATTCCCTTGTAAGAGAGATGTTACCCCCAGGGAACTGCAAGTAACTGAATGTGCACTAGACGGAACTCCACAATATTGTGTAAGCCACAGTGATTCTCCCTTGTAGCTCATTCTATAAGTACCTATTCTATACAGTGCTGCCACCTAGCACCCTTGGTTGGAAACTGCTCCTAGGTAGCCCTGGTACTACAGGGTGTCCCTAAAGTCTGGATACATAGGGCAAAATGCATATTGAGAAAAATATATAGTTAGTGATATTTCCTATGTGTTCAAACTTTAGGGACACCCTGTACAATAGTTTGCATTGTCAGTTTATCCTGTATTATTTCAATAATCATCAATTTGCCCATTGCTCAATAATGTGATTGATATCTCTATATTATAGTTTAAAGCCCATTATCTACAATATTCTAGTGCATTGGTGTCAAACTGGCAGCGATCCAGCTGTTGCCAAACTACAAGTCCCATGAGGCATTGCAAGATTGACAGTTACAAGCATGATTCCCAAAGGTAGTGGCATGATGGGACTTGTAGTTTCACAACAGCTGGAGGGCCGCCAGTTTATACACCCCTGCTATAGTGCAGTGTTTGTTAACCTTTTTCCAGTCAAGGAGCCCTCGAAAATTATTTTCAGTCTCAAAGCACTCCAGTCTAAAGCTGGCCATACATGTGTAGATTTTCAGATGAGAATATTCACTAAAAAAGTCATACAAAAATTCTTTGAACATTCGATGAATGGACGAATGTTGTTCGAAAATTGTCTTTTGCTTTTAAAATTTGACTTTAAAATGAATGTAATTTCTGAACGATAACAACATACACTGGCCTGAAAATTTGTTTGAGCGGGAAAAGCTTTCCTCTCTGCCCCTTCGAATTTTCCTATCACTGCTGTCGAAAATGAACATCAATTTGACCCCACTAATGATTAGAATATCAAACGAATATTCTTCAAATGAAAATGCTCAAATAAAAATCTAGAAGTGTATGGCCAGCTTAAGGCTAGGTTCACATTACTGCATGTCAGGGGACACAAGCAAAATTGATCACATTCCCCACATGCAGACAAACTCGCACTCTTTAGCAGACACACAAGGGTGTCATTAATTCTTGATGGTACCCACACGCTTAGACAAACACTGCATGTTTTTGGCGTAATGTGATTTTTAAAAAAGGATCAGGGACTTCATTCCCTGTGTTTTAGTGGGTAAGGAAGCCTATTGAATGAAATTACTGGGCTGCCTTACACGCAGTATGCAGCTGCACAGATGTGAACCAAAAGCTCATCCATGAGCGAGGTTAGGGAACAGTAATTTTTACCACCCTCAACTGCTCCCCCTTTAGCTGCAGTGGCAACAGCCAGGGACATACACATGCTGTGACTGCAGCTTGAAGTATACCCCAAAGTGAATTTGGCTGCACTGCACTGAACAGTGATGGTCTCTTCACTGCCTGTCAAATGCCCCTAAAAAGTCAACCGAGCACACACGCACATGGCCTTTTTAACTTCCTCCCACCCGCCATATAAAGTAATGACGGGCGCAAGGTGGTTCTCTCGTTCTGGAAGGACATCATATGACGTTCTCCCACTCTAACCGCGCGTGCGCAGGCTCCAGGAGTGCACAACACGGCGATCGGTGGTGAGCTGTGTCCCTCAAGCACAGTGGATCACCAATCAATGGAAAGAGCAGAAAATGTCGGCTCTGCCATGTGATCAGCTGTGTCCAATCACAGTTGTTCGCATGTTAACAGGGAAATGCCGGTTATCGGCATTTCTCTCCTCACGAGCTATCACGCTGACACCTCGAGAGGAGAGGAGAGCAGGTAATCGGCATTCCACAGAGAGGACATGTACACTGATCATCAGGGCACTGATGATCAGTGTGCCCTGATGATCAGTGTAGCCCCAGCAGTGCCACCTGTCAGTGCCCATCCATGCCAGCTGTCAATGCTCATCAATGCCACCTGCCAGTCCCCTTCAGTGCCTCATCAATGCCACATATCAGTGCCTACCAGTGCACTTCAATGCCACATATCAGTGCCCATCTGAGCTGCCTTTCAGTGTCACCTATCAGTGCCAGTCAGTGCCACCTATCAATGCCAGTCAGTGCCACCTATCAGTGCTGGCAATCAGTGCCACCTATCAGTGTCAGTCAGTGCCACCTATCAGTGCCCATCAGTGCTGAATATTAGTGCCGCCTAACAGTGCCAGTCAGTGCCACCTAACAGCGCCAGCCAGTGCCAGTCAGTCCCACCTATCAGTGCCACCTATCAGTGCCGCCTATCAGTGCCATATATAAGTGCTGCCTTTCAGTGCCCATCAATGATGCCTGTTATGCCCATCAGTGCCACCTACTAGTGCCTTCTCATCAGTGCGCATCAGTGCCACCTATCAGTGCCCATCAGTACAGCCTATCAGTGCCCATCAGTGCAGCCTATCAGTGCCCATCACTGCAGCCTCATTAGCACATATCAGTGAAGGAGAAAAATCACTTATTTACAAAATTTTATAACAAAAACTAAGAAAAAAACATTTTTTTTGCAAAATTTTCAGTTGTTTTTGGTTTGTTTAGCAAAAAATAATAAATCCAGAGGTGATTAAATACCACCAAAATAAAGCTCTATCTGTCTCAAAATAATGATAAAAATATCATATGGGTACAGTGTTGCATGACCGCGCAATTGTCATTCAAAGTGCGACAGCACTGAAAGCTGAAAACTGGCCTGGGCAGGAAGGGGGTATAAGTGCCCTGTAGGCAAGTGGTTAAAACTGCTGGACTGTACCTGCACTCACATCGGGTAGTGCACTGCTGGGTACTACCCTGTACGGAGAGGTGGAGAGCTCAGGACTCAGGAAGCCACCAGCCCCTTCCACTGCTTTCACTACTACACCACCCCTGACCACCTCAGGCAGCACTCCAGGGTGCTGCGGCATCTTGGTTAAAAAAGGCTACTGTAATGTTTCCCCTGTGACGTGCTTTCGCATGGTTTGACAACTGGCAGGGCTTCTTTTCAGTGGGAACGTGGAGGCACGCACTTACAGCACTTCCGGCACCTCCAGCACTGAATGTATGTAATGGTAAGGGGTGCTGGGGTGTGCTGGAGGATCTATTGTTTCTGGCTGCTGGGGGATCTATTATCAATGAAGGGGATCTATTTTTGTGTGGTTGTCTATTCTTGCTGGGGAGGTCTATTGTTACCGGTGGGGGGGTCTATTGTTCATGGAGGTCAGTTGTTGCTGGAAGTGATCTACTGTTGAGGGAAGGGTCTACTGTTGCTAGCTCCTGGAGAGTTTATTGATGCTGGCTGTTGAGAGATCTGTTGTAGCTGCCGGGGATCTATTGTTGATGGGTGGTATTTTGTTTTGGGGACCAATTCTTGCTGGAGGAATCTATTGTTGCTGAGGGGAATCTATTGTGCTGGCTGCAGGGGATCTATTTTTTTTCTGCTTTTCTTGTTATCATTAACAAATTGCATACAAATTATTTGGCACCACAAAATTATACTTGGCTCTGTATTCTCTAAAAGGAGAAATACTGGGAGGTGGGTAGGGGGTGGAATCAAGTGACAGTGCTTGGAGGTGGATAAGAAGTGACTCAGAAAGGAGGAGTTGCTGCACCTATTTTTTTTAGAAAAAAAGCCCTGACAAATGAGGTACCCCACATGGAAGAAAAATATATTTTAAAAATATTCTTCCCAAATATATATTGACATACATTTGAAATACTACAATTTTGGCCGTATTCAATATATTTAAAAAATATATTTTCAATATATATATTCTGTATGTTGAAATTCGTTTTTTATATATTACAAAATTAATGAAAAATATTTTTAAAAATACATTTTCAAATATATGTCTTTAAAAATACATTTAATCTACATTTTTGGAATGCATTTACAAATATATGTAAAAATATATGTTAAAATGACTTTTTTATATGGTAAAAGAACTCTGAAGAATATATTTAAAATATATATATTTTTAAATATATGCCTTTAGAAAATATATTTAAATTAAAATTTTTAGATTGTTAAAATATGTTAGCGTAGGCCAATATATTGTAAATATATGTCACATATATAATTTTTTTTCTAAATATATTGGAATTATATTTCTCTTCCATGTGGGACTCCTAGTTCCATGTCCACTGACATAAATTGTTCCACGATGTGATTCATCATTTTAATTGTTTTGCCTATATAGTAATGCCTGCATAGGCAAAATATAACATACATGAATTTTTAATTCTCAGGGTAATTATTTATTGATTCAACTTATATATACTCCTAACCTGTGTTACTTTTTCTTATATTGTCATTTATGGATTTATAATTACCTTTTTGTCTTTTTTCTAAAAAACAATTATTTATGACATTACTTTTAAACTCATTCAATATAATCTGTTATCTAATGGTCTTACATTTAGGAAAAGTGATCAATGGACACTTTTTCATTTTCTCCTTTGGCTTCACATCTTGTTGCACAGTATGCCAGATCTTTTGAATTCCCTTTTTAATCCTCGCTGACAAACAGGAATACTTAAATGAAAAGAAAAGCTGTTATTCTTCTTTTTCTCTTTCCATTTATTTACTATAATGTTATTTCTCTTAATATACAGTGGGTGATAACGTGCATAATGCAGTAGCTCATTATAAGCTGTTTCCTTTTTCTAATTCCAG